GTTGGGGGGAGATGGGCGGTTGAAAAATTTAATAAATAAAATAAATAAAAAAATAACATTGAAAACTCTGCTTGACAGAATTCCCTGCAAAGACCTATTGTTTTGGAAGGCAATCTTCTGTCCCCAGGACTGAGTATCATTTATATCTCTTGTAAGAGCACCCTTTTACTCAGTTTCCCTCACACAAGAGCCAACATTCAGTTGCGCAATAATGCATCCAGAAGACCTACCTTGGCTGGATTGACAGCTGTTATCACCCACACACAATACGCATTGTTATCATACTGGACAGGATAGTTAGGAGAGGTGATAACACCACTGGGCCCTCGGAGGTACGTATCACACATTCTAGCTGTGGAGTTGGGAGAAAAAGAAGAAACAGGAAAGTCCACATGTGGATGGAAGTTTTGTTTGCAATGTTCTTTCTCTTAAGGGCCTAGAAAATGAACCAGCTTTGAAGGAGGTATAGATTTTTGTTTTACCATTTCTATCAACCAAGTTGATCATAGAAAGGTCTCTCCTGGTGTGCCAGAGAAAGAGATATTTCACAAACTGTATGATCCATGAAGCCAAATGTATCTATTAACCACATTCATGGAGACCGCAAGGATTCAAACCTCCATGTCCTCCCCAAACCCTCCTACTTTTACTTTCTGCCTAAAATCTTGTAAATTCTTTGGGAAGGAGCAATCAAGCACCTGAAAACACCTCTAGATGGCTGCTGGGTTGCATTTGACTATTTTGGCTTTTGCAGACCTGGACTAGTCTAAGTATGTGGCCCTAAGGCAAGGTCAACTTCACTCACATCTGGATCCTGTGCATCAAGGTCTGTATAGAAAAGCTTTCCCCAGCATTCTCCAGATGTTTCGGATTACAAACAAGAATGTCTAAACAACAGGGTTTATAGAGAATAGCCACAAAACTAGTTAGTTGGGCAATGAGGCTCTGATCAATCCAAGGAATGTTTAGTAGTAAAATTTAAATGGAAAATGAAATGGTCAAAATGAAATTGATTTAATGAAAGCTATTGTTATAGATGGGGAAAAGTAGTTAATAGAGATGGGGATGGTCTTATTTTGCTTCTCTCTAGTATACTAATTCAATCCTACATCTATTTCCCTAGGAGTAAGCCTCACTGGACGTATATCTGAGTGATGTATATAAGATTACATTATGAAAGTTGGGCATTAAAATAAATAAAAATACTTGAAGTCACTCAAGTGCTTTACAGATCTAAAAATGAATCCAAAAATTGCCATCAAGTCTTGGGACTGAACTGTAGGGCAATTCTAATAATTCTTCATAGTGTCATTGTCAGGATGCAGGTTAGAAAAAGACAATTCATCAGGTTTTTCTACTTAGGTCAGACATAAGGCATATTGGAAGAATAACTCATAAGCTATCTTGGCTGCATTAGCCAGAGTTGAGATGTCACTGGAAGAAACCATGTCTCTGAGGAGGCCTGCTTACAACCTAGAGCTCCTACAAGCTTGCTAAGATAAGACAAAAGTCTCTAGGTGAGAAACATGCCTCTGAACCTGTTAGGGGTAAACCCCCTGCCAGAGGCTCCTACTCTTGCTATATCTGCATGCAAATCTTCCTGATGAGATGTGTAAATCAGACTGATACAGGATAAAAAGAATTCCTGTGCAGGCACTCACACGCTCTCTCAGAGGCCTGCAGAAAAATAACAGTTGCTTCTCCTAAAATTCCATGGCTGTCCTCATCCAGGTAAGACTTATATACATATTGGTGTAGGATGAGACTTTAAAGGCTGAGGAGTTAGGCATTAGCATGCAATATCAAAGGCTTCTTATAGAAATTCTTTGTGATAGATCAATATTTTACTTTTTGGGGAGTATGTTTCATCCTCTTGGTTACATTATCCCTGCAGAAATAAAAGTTCTGTTTCTCTTTCAAAGGAGCTCTTTGTCCTGAACTTTTTTCTTCCTTAGGGATAGTGAGTAGCCTCCATACTGAAACCAACAGCGAATCAGTTCATGAGACCCCAGAGTAAGCTTTTCACATGAAGTCAGTTGTCTTGCTGTGAGGCTAATCCACAGAACGCCCTGAACCTTAAGGGGACACTGTCAAGCAGCTCCTTTGGGTGGTGTACTGCTGATCTTTGACCCTTACACCATGGGGGAACAAATTTGACTCTATTTCTTCTTCTTGCAAGAATAAAATGAAATCCATTTAGCAATGACTTGAACAATAAGCAGGGAATGCAGACGCCTAGGTCTAGTTCCTAAACAGGCTTAACTGTTGAATTGTTTTAGAGCGTCCCCACATTGTACAAAATGGCTGCAACTTTCTTCTGAAGACCTCATCAAATCTTAACACAATAAATATTTTATGGAAGACATATGAATTAAGTCTGGATTTCCTGCAGACTATGGAGATGGCAACCTTTCTGTAAGACATTTTGACTAAAACAGAGAAGATGAGATTTAAGAAGAAAAGAGGCTGAGTAGCAACAGATCAGTGCTTTGTATTCTGTCAGAGCAAAAGATTAGCTAGCCAGAACTATATGGAGTACTCTTCCCTATTATGTGTAATGGGATGTGAGAGTAACCTTGGGAGACAGGAGGAAGAGCTGCAGCCAGGGCAATGGTCAGACAAGAGACATCTCAGTTCACAGAAGGAATGGGGTATGGGAAGCACCTCAGAAGGGACCCTCCCTAGTTTTCTGGAAAGTAAAAGGAAAGGAGGGGAGAAATACTTTCATACGTGCAAGATTCTGTTAATGTAACCTTACCATAAAGGTAGTGTTAGTACTCATGGTTTTGGTTTTCTGTCTGGAGTACCTCGAAGGGCTGACATCAGTCTTGCAAGTCTAAAAGCACTTTCCCCCTCCCTGTCCTTACTTTCCAGAGGACTAGGAAGGGTCCCTTCTGAAATCCACTTTCTCCACTCCCATCCCTCTGTTGGACTCAGATTTCATTCATCAGACCATTGACAAGGCTGGT